GGCGTTATTTCTTATAAAAAAAATTTCTTTTCTTCTTCTTCACGTCTCTCGGTCCCGCGGTTCTGATCCGGTTCTGTCAGGGGGTCCAGGACCAGGGTCACCAGGGGATCCAGCAGCCGGAGAAGTCCGGCTGGATCAGGAAGTTCTGCGGCCGTGGCATCTTCAGGGAGCTGTGGAGGAACCGCTTTGTGGTTCTGAGAGGAACCCATCTGTTCATCTCCGACAGAGAGGTGGGTCCAGGTCCGTGTTCTCCACGGAACCACACGGAACGGCACCGTTAGCTGTTAGCTCACGGCTAATCATTAGCTAAAATTCACCTTTTCATTCATTCATTTATTATTAAATGTCTTTGTTTGAAGTTTTTTTTTCTGTTAGCATCTTTAGTTCAAGAACTTTCTGTTGTGAAATAGTTTCCATGTGTTTGGGTAAAACCCGGTCACGTGACATGTTTGACGCGCAGGTGAAAGATGAACGTAAAGCGCAGGAAGTGTTGGACCTGGCAGATTACGAACGTTCGGAGGAACTGCGAAAAGCCAAGAGTCGCAGTAAGAAAAACCACAGTCGCTTTACGCTGCTGCGCAGCAGACGGCCAGGAAGCAATGTAAGAGTTTAACACAGCGCCCCCACCAGGACAATTGGCATTAACCTAGCTCAGAGACATTCTCAGAGAAAAGGTTGTTCTAAACTAACGCTTCTCTCGCAGGTTCCTAACCTCGTGTTTTTGGCCTTCAGCCCGGAGGAAAAGGAATCATGGGTAAATGCGATCAATGTGGCCATCGTCAAAGCGAAGAACAGAAGAGTTTTAGACGAGGTTCGAAGAAAAACTCAGGAGCCAACAAACTGTTGACCAGACTTTCTTTAACTTTGTCTGTTTTGGATCAGGTGACCATTGAAGAGGGCGGAGCGTTGGCTCATCCAACCAGAGACCGGGCAAAGGTTCCTCGAGGCCGCAGGCTGCCCACTAGGGGGCACCTCCTTTCTGTGGTACTGTATTTTTTACGCAGTCACAACCTAATGTAAAGCAGCGATGCTAACGCGTCTCTGCGCCTGCAGGCGTCCACTTCCTCTCGAGGCATGCTAACCCTGGACCTGGTGGCGGAGGAGGACTCCTGCTCCCTGGACGACGACGCTGACTCCAGTTTCCAGGTGGACCGCTGTGACGGACACCAGGATGTCGGCGGTCGTCGTCGCGCCGACACCGACGCCTCCAAACTCAGGACGACGCCCAAGGAGTCGAAGGTGAAGACAGGAAGTTTGCCCAGAGGCAGCGGGTGGTACTGCAGCAAATCATCCCAGCTGGACGTCTGCAGAGCTCAGAAGAACCAGCAGGTTCAGGTACGAACTCGTCATCAACCAAATCAGAACTTCAGACCTCCAACCTCGACCTGTTTCTCACCTTCAGGTCCTTCAGGCTCAGTGTCAGACGCCTCAGCCCGGGAAGAGGTTCAGTGTCGTTCAGGGTCGCAGTCGCTGTGCCTCCATGGACGAGGTTCTGTCTTCCAGGTACCGATGTGGTCCCACGGCCACAAAGACGCAAGGCTAACGTGCTAGGCTAACAGATTCAAAGAATGGGTTCCTCTGTTTCCTTCTCCTTCAGACCAGCGATGGTTCGTCCGGATCTCCGTCGTCGTCGTCCCACAGAGGATGAGTCGGTGGGCGGGGCCTGTGAGCAGCCCGTGGCTCAACCCGTGGGTCAGCTGCAGAGTCTGATCGCTCAGAGGATGCAGAGAGCCCAGGAGATGCTGGAGGAGATGAGGCTGCAGGTTTGATTCCTCCACACTGTCCACAGAGTTTTTCACGTGAACAAAGGCTGACGCTGTCTCCTCCGCCCAGGAGCTGCAGAAGTCAGGAGCACAGAGACACAGAGGAGGAGGAGCAGGAGGAGGAGGAGGAGGAGGAGGAGGAGCAGGAGGAGGAG